GTTACCGGATTTTATATGACAAATAGTACGCCAACAGAAAGAAAGAAATGAATGAAGAAAATGAACGCAGATCGCTGGAGAGAGAGAAGCGAAAACAATTCAATGTCGCTGATGTTACCGGCTTCATGACAAAAGGTAAGCCAACGGAAAGAAAGAAATGAATGAAGAAAATGAATTCCAATATCATCAGCGCTTGAGAATTATGAAGAGAGACAGATTGCAGGAGATCGAGAGAAGCGAAAACAATTCAATTTGGCTGATGTTACTACCATCTATCATGACAAAAAGTAAGCAACGGAAAGAAAGAAATGAATGAACAAAAATGAACTTGTCAATATAACAATTAAGCGCTTGAGCAATATAAAGAGAGACGGATCTCGGGAGAGAGCAAAGCGAAAACAATTAAAATATCGCTGATGTTACCGGCTTTATTACAAAAAGTAAGCCAACGGAAAGTAAAGAAAATGAATGAAGAAAATGAATGCCAATATCATCAGCGCTTGAGAATTTTAAAGAGAGACAGATCGCGGGAGATCGAGAGAAGCGAAAACAATTCAATTTGGCTGATGTTACTACCGTCTATCATGACAAAAAGTAAGCAACGGAAAGAAAGAAAGTGAATGAAGAAAATGAATACCAATATCATCAGCGCTTGAGAATTTTAAAGAGAGACAGATCGCGGGAGATCGAGAGAAGCGAAAAAATTCAATAGCTGATGTTACCGTCTATTATGAAATAAGTAAGCCAACGGAAAGAAAGAAATGAATGAAAAAAAGAATTCCTATATCACCATCGCTTGAGAATTATGAAGAGAGACAGATTGCGGGAGATCGAGAGAAGCGAAAACAATTCAATTTGGCTGATGTTACTACCGTCTATCATGACAAAAAGTAAGCAACGGAAAGAAAGAAATGAATGTCAATATAACAATTGAGCGCTTGAGCAATATTAAGAGAGACGGATCGCAGGAGAGAGCGAAGCAAAAACAATTAAAATATCGCTGTTACCGGCTTTATTACAAAAAGTAAGCCAACGGAAAGTAAAGAAAATGAATGAAGAAAATGAATGCCAATATCATCAGCGCTTGAGAATTATAAATAGAGAGAAGCGAAACCAATTCAATTTCCACGCTCTGTGCGAGAGTGGGAGGGGGTGTAATTAAGACAAGAATTAAGTTTCGAGAACGGTACAACGAATCGTCTTTCTCTAATAATTTAATGAAGCGTCAAAGCTTCCGCGCTTTGCGCTGGAGAGGGGGTTGGAACTGAATTTATGCAAGAATTAAGAGTCGAGAACGGTACAACGAATCGTCTTCTTTCTCAATAATTCATTAATTGATAAAACGTCAAAGCTTCCGCTGTTTTGCGCAGGAGGGGGTGGGGAACTGAAATCAGACAATAGTTTAGAGTCGAGTACGGTACAACGGCTCGTCTTCTTTCTAGAATAATTAAATGAAGCGTTATAAAGCGCGGGAGGGGGGGGGGGTGTTAATTAAGACAAGGATTTAGAGTCGAGAACAGTACAACGAATGGTCTTCTTTGTATTATGATTTAATGAAACGTCAAAACTTCCGCGCTTTGCGCGTGAGTGAGGGGGGGGGGATGAATTCAGACAAGAAATAAGATTCGAAAACGGTACAACGAATCGTCTTCTTTCTCGAATAATTGAATGAAGCGTTAAAAGCGTGGGCAGGAGGGGGGGGGGGGGGGCCTTATATAACACAAGGATTTAGAGTCCAGAACGGTATAACGAATCATCTTCTTTCTCGAATAATTATATTAATCGTTGACGCTCCCGCGTAAAGCGCAGAGGGGGGGGGGGGGGCTGAATTCAGACAAGAATTAAGATTCGAGAACGATACAACGAATCGTCATTCTCTAATAATTTAATGAAACGTCAAAGCTTCAGCGCTTTGCGCGTGAGTGGGGGGGGGGGTGGGGGGGAGGCGCGGATTCACCGGCCACCCCCCTAGCCCCCCAAAACGGTAAAAAAAAATAGAGAACGATGCAACGAATCGTCTTTCTCAATTATTGATAAAACGTCAAAGCTTTTGCGCTTTGCCCTGGTAGAGTCGAGAACGGTACAAAGAATCGTCTTCTTTCTCAAAATGAAGCGTTAAAAGCGCGGGAGAAGGGGGGGGGGGTCTTATTTAAGACAAGGATTTAGAGTCGAGAACGGTACGACGAACATGAAGTGTTGAAGCTTCCGCGCAAAGGGCGGGAGGGGGGGGGGGTAATATTTAAGACAAGGATTTAGAGTCGAGAACGGTACAACGAATCGCCTTCTTTCTCGAATAATTAAATGAAGCGTTAAAAGCGCGGGAGGGGGAGGTCTTATTTAAGAAAAAAAAAGATTTAGAGTCGAGAACGGTACAACGAATCGCCTTCTTTGTCTAATGATTTAATGAAACGTAAAAAAGCGCGGGAGGGGGGGGGGGGTCTTATTTAAGACAAGGATGAAGAGTCGAAACGGTACGACGATTCGTTTTCTTCCACTATAAATAATGTAATGAAACTTCAAAGCTTCCGCGCTTCGGACCAAAAAATAAAATAAGAGAAGGTGATTGTAGGAAGAAACAATTAATAATTACTTAAGGAAAGACAGAAAAAGAAAATGAGAAAATGATGAAGACAAAGAACAACATAAGAGAAGGTGGTAGAAGGAAGAAACACAGGATAGCGTAAGGAAAGAGAGGAAGAGGAAATAATAAAAATGATAACAAACAATAACATAAGAGATGATAGAACAAAGAATAACATTAAGTAATTAAGACAAAAATAAAAAAATGATTAAGAATACATAATGGAAAGATAGAACAAAGGATGAAAGATGGAAAAAACAAAGATTAACATAAGGAAAGACAGAAAAAAGAAGGTGATAGAAGGAAGAATCAAAGAATAGCGTAAGTAAAGATAGGAAAAGGAAATAATGGAATAATAAAAACAAACAATAACATTAGAGAAGGTGATAAAAGGTAGTAACATAACATAATGAATTTAAGACAGAAAGAATACTGCTTAGGTCGGTTTATTAAAACAAAAGCAATGAGGAGAACACAGCGAAGGTCTAGTTACTAGACTACTCTCATTCAACAACAATAACATAAACATCGCTCAGACACGCAGCTCAGAAATTGTCACACAACCTTCTCCGAGTTTGATTCTGATGCCAGCGCACACAGTGCACTTACGCATACAGTTTTCTAACGAGACCGTACGTGCTACAGCGAGGGAAGAACGTACACGTAGTGCCTCGCTAGAAAATTGGACGAAACTCGGAAAAGACCCGTATGTCTATGCGACAATCTGCGCTCAAGCGTAGGCTGAGCAGCATGGGCTGAGCGCCCGATCTCATATTTATCTCCGCTTTTGCTGGTTCATTTTCTCCCGTTCAAAATTGCATTTGAGGTAGCAGTTCATTTTCAAATTTCTGGTAATAAAATCAAATTCAAAATAAAACATGAAATCAAAAAAACATGTGCACTAATATGCGCAGTCATACAAGCTGGTCAGTCTTAATCTGATGCAGCTGCTTAACAGCCGGTCGAAACGTGATTGACAGCTCTCTCTCCACGAGAAGAAGGGGGAAAAAGTTTCCTGAAGTGAGTCAAATCTGAAATTTGTTCGGGAGTATCAATATCATATCTCCGGTATTACTTGCCCGATTTTTGTGCTTTGAAGTTTTTTGGGGCAAATGAATCCCTAAGAACAAATTTCGGGAGAAAAAAACACAGATTTGTGTAACTTTGGGATTTTTTTCTTCACATTTTCTCTTCAGCCAGACTCTGTTGACGGGTCTTATCAGCGCGTCATTGGCAATGGATTAGGAAAGTGATAAGAACGGGAGGTCTTTCTCCAGGCTCGTTTTCAAACTCTATGAGACAATATCCGAGTTAGGGACACTAAAGTCGGAATCTCTCTAGCGAGGAATTTTCGTAATGATGACAAATCTACAGTAATCTATGCGATGTAATTATTTTTCTAAAAAATGCAATTCAATTCTGTTTCTGCCCAAGTGGAATTGCTCTTTTAAAGATTTTGACGACAATGGTGACAAGGATCACGATGATAATAATAAAAATAATGGCAAATTATACTGACAACGACTAGCTTTATATTATTTTACTTTTTATACTTTACCGATTTTTTTAAGCCACCTTTCCTCACCCCATGAAATTCATAGTTGCACATGACTAATAAACAAGTATTTGAAAAAAGAATATGAGGTAACCAAATTATACTCTTAACTGGAGCTGGTAATGTAGTAAGTTATGTTAAATAACAAGTAAATCACATTTTCTGCATTAAACCCTCTTTTATGATGGATAAAAGCCTAAGTATTTAGAGAAAATGATCAAAATTAGGTTGTACAAATTTATTGCTGATTGATCACCTAGCCTTAACATTTCTATTAGAAATGTTAAGGCTAAGTGGTAAATCATGTTAGATATAAGTGTCTATGTATGCATTATCAAGATCTCTATTGCTGTTGTTTTTTCAGGGCTTTCCCGTCGGGACCAAATTAGGCGAGCAAGAAAGGATAAGTGTGCCCCAAGCTGAATACACCAAAGGAGAATTCTCGGTGAGTAATTGCTCCACTCTCGTCATGTGGAACTCGTTATTTTCTGTTCTACAACAAACAAAACACATCTTAAAGCCACATAGTAGTCATGCAGTGTCCATGTGTGTTGCATCTTAATTCGCTGACTCCAGCTTTGGTTGAATTACCAATAAATGTGGGCATACATGTAGGTCTCTAAAGCAGCGAAACCGTTGTCCCGCCAGAAAATATTCCAGCTTCTCTTCATATCTCGAGGGTGAGGACAATTTTATTATGATGAGAATTCCTTATGGCTGTAGGTTCAGGGCACAGTGCATTACATAAGACCTGTCGGCCATTCAAAGTGAAGTCCATTCTTGGTGATTGACGATGCCTTTTGTTGGGTAAACACCCGAATTGTGTCAAATTCCCTATGAGAACACACTATGTACTATGAGGTTTTAAGACTTTTTCAGACATAACATAGTAAAATGCACCCAATTCTGCTCAGACAAACATATCACCCATTTTACTTTTTTAAATAAATGGTAAGAGGCAAAACAAAGAAAGATTTAAAGAATCTTAATGATGTCAAATTTCCCATGAGAGCCCATGTGATGAGATTTGATTTAAAGAATCTTAACCTTGAGAGAATCCTGCATGATGTGTGAGTTATGCCAAAACCTATATGGAAAACAACCCCCTACAAAACCATGGTACCTTTATGATGTGTATTCTGTTTGTGTGTTTTTGATTAATTGTGTTGATTGCTATTTTTCATGTAGGCTGTGCGCAAACTAGTGATGAGGTTGCCCCATGGCACGCAGGTCAAACGAGAGGTTGACCTCATGCTCGACAAGTGCTCTGAGACCATGACCCCAATGCACTTTCACCTTCGAGAGGTCATATTCTCCATGTTCAATAAGGTTTGTGTAATTAATTTTGAGTGAATCCCTGTTTTTATTTTTTGAGATTGAGATTGAAAAGGTTTTTATTGATTGCACTTCGCAGCCAGATGGCTGAATTATGAACAATTTACATTGGCAATAAAAATACTTACAAATGTGGTTTGACATTCTCACAAAGTATAATATACAGCTTATAACAAAATTCATATTTGATGTAATTTATGCAAATGATATGCACAAGCATCCATTCTTTTTGTAATCCTGTAATGAAAGTTCATGATTACATGTAGGTGTATATCATCTTAGAAAAAGTTTGTTCTAATCCATAAAAAAACTTTCAGACTATCTTTAATTGTACATCTAGCATTGAAGTCACTACTTCAGCACCATTTACTCTCATCTGAACAATGTTACCAAGTCTTTTTAAAGGGTTGAAATAATAGAAAGGATTGACTGTATATTATTTATACCAATGAATAATAGAAATTATGATTTTGTGATTGATATTTTACCAGATGAAGACAGCCGGCCAAGGTCGTGTAGGTCAACTGTTTTTGACTTGAGTGATTGAGTGTTTATTATTTATACCATTGAATAATAGAAAATGATAATTTTGTGATTGATATTTTACCAGATGAAGATTGCCAAAGGGGAGAAGGTCAACTGCTTTTTGACTCAAGTGATTGACTGTATAATTTTTATACCAATGAATATAAATAGAAATGATGTAGGTAGTAGTTTTATGGCGTTCAGTCAGTACTGAATATATATGACTTGAGTGATTGGCTGTATATTATTTATACTAATGAATATGAATAGAAATCATTATTTTGTGATTGATATTTTACCAGATAAAGACGGCAAAGGGGGAGGAGGTCAACTGCTTATACCAGCAGAGCCTAGATAACCTGGAACGTTACATCTATCTGATCATGTTCAATGCATACCTCCATATGCAGAGGGTGACCAACTGGGAGATGCCCTTCCAACATTGGATGAAAACGGTCAGTTAATTTTACAGTATTTTCTAATCAAACTGTCCCATGAACTTGTTACATGCCACACAAACAATCTCCCTGTGCCACATTGTATTCATAATGGGATAGATTATACTGAAGGCCTCCTTAGGGATTGAGTACCACTTTTCTTGTCTCCATTTATTGGTACTTATACAGATATATCACAGTAGTTTTTATACAACTTACTCCTAGATCCTAATCAAATGATTGATTGAACACAGTCGCATATGATTCATTCACTATCACATGTTTTTACTATACTAAGAAAAAGCGTGCAATAGTTACCAGCACTATCCAAGGTTTTAAAAGTAAGATAGATAGATAGATATTTGGTTTTATTCAAGTACTAATTAAAAAGTCTAAAGACTGAAAGGACTTGGAATTCAAATTTAAAAAAAATTGATACGGCTTTGAGAGATCACAATACTAATACTTGACATAATCATTATGCAATAATTAATTAACATTTAAGAATTCACAATGGCGAACATAATGAGGGCATAACTAAGAAGTTGAATTCAGAAGTTGTATAAAGTAAGGAATGGGAGAAAGCATGCGTCTTTGAGTTCGTATACGAGGTAAGCGAGTACGGGATGCACAGCAGTGCATGCAGAGGTTAATACGTGTTTTGTTTTTTTCTTTTTCAGGTTGGATACAAAGTCGGTGCTTACGACATCCTCGACCACCTGACTTTTGGTGAATTGGACATTGAATCTCGCTTCAGCATCAGCTCCATGCGTGATCGATGGTGTCGAGAAGCCACCCCTAAAACGATCATCCGAGGGTTCCTCATTTGAAACATCCTCCCGACTGAGCGGACACTTACCAAATCTCCAAGCAATTGACTTGGGTTTGGTATACAAAAAAACATTTGCCAAGTTGTGCTGTACCGGAAATTTGCAAAAGCCAACTTTTCTTTCTCTGAGCGTGAGATGTTTCAGATGATTTCTGCATTGCTTTGTGTAGCCTGCATGCCGTACACCACTCCTCATTTGAGCAGATTGCCTGAAGATTATTTCAGCAAATATATTTATTGATTTATAGTTAAAGAAAAGAGAGTTACTGTTGGTATGTGAATGTCATCTTTTTAGGTTGATACAACGTACGCAGACAGACAATAGAGGGCACATCACATTCACTGGAGTATGAGCTCTATGGTGGATTGAATGGTTGATCAGGGGATTGCAATAGTATCGCCATAGAAACAGTGCCAAAATGGATACTGCCCTCTTTGTCACTGTCGGGTTTAATCAACACATGTGGTAGTTTTGTTTGCTCTATTTGTTGCTGTTTATGGAAGGAGCGTTGCCAACAATGTTTAGAGGCAAGAGAATGCTTCTAAACTTAGCTTTCAGTTGTACTTTTCAGCTTCTGTTCCTCAATGTTTTTTAATATTGTATACTTCATTTGTTAAAATGTTTTGTCATCAAAGCAAAAGAACACTTTATAGCTTTTAATTGTACATGTTTTAGCCTATATTAGGTCAGAAATGCTCTTTTTGCTATTTTTGGGGTGAATTTTTTTGTCATCGATCTCTGTGATTTTTTCATTTTGCAATGAAACCTCTTTAATATCCACAATCTAAAATTATTTCCTGTGAACATTCTGTTACATATTATTGCAAAAATATTCCATTTTCCTACGAAAACTATTAAATGAGAAAAAGAGCTCTAAAAGAATCAACAGAAATGAATATATCTAAAGAGTTCATTTAAAAGGTCACATCATAAACCTACAGCGTACATATTTTTTTCTCTCTCTTTCTTGAGACATTTTTCTCAACATCATGATCTTGTTCTCCTGAAAAAATTGACTCTGACACGAGATGTAATTATTCTCATGAGATTACTAATTATGAACCTACTATTAGGGTAGTAAAATTTCAGTGAATCTTCACATTTTATAATGGATGTATACACACACACACATACAATACTTGCTATGCTTGCCATGCACAGTACATTTGCAAAGCCACATGTAATGGTCTTTGTAAAATCAACCTAGTGTTTGTTAATTAATTTTGTTCGGCCAGCTACTCGTTTAACAATTTTTTTTTTATTGCTTATTGCGCTTTGCATGCATTTAGAAAACATACTGTATGTCAACTGCACAATGCTTGAAAGGGATCAACAGTTTCTCTCTATTTTCCCATGTGCAATTATTAATTAAAAGAGAAAACAGAAATTATGATAATGATTATGTACAAGAATGAATTATAGGAGAAGAGTGTGTGTGTGAGAGAGAGAGAGAGAGAGAGAGAGAGAGATAGAGCGAGAGAGAGAGAGAGAGAGAGAGAGAGAGAGAGAGATAGAGCTTGAGAGAGCTTGAGAGAGAGAGAGAGAGAGAGAGATAGAGCGAGAGAGAGATTGAGGGAGAGAGAGAAAGGGGGAGAGAGGAGATCAATAGAGAAAACAAATTGATGGGGCATTTTATTTAGTCTTTTCTGAGTCATATTCATCTGTCTGTATCTTTTGTTGTGGTATTTTGTTTGCCACATCATGATGTAAATGATCTGTACATACCAAAGAGTAATTTATTGTTCTATCACATGATATTATTACTACTACATCTGCTACTATTCACCGAACTAATATTGTACAAAATATTTTGCAGGTCTGCTAAGGTCACATCACACTTAATGACCCAAACTTTAAAGGAGTTTGAAAGGAATTAAAATAGGACTGGAACTCACCCCTCCAGCTTTGCATTACAATCAGGAAAAGAGTTGATATTTGTGAAATTCCTTATCAAATCCTTTTTCAATTTCATTTGAATTGCAATTGTAGTCAGGTCGTGATGTGTGAGGTTGGCCTTTATGCACCCCCTACTGAGAGAAGGTCGGAACTAATTTTTTGTTTTTTATCACGGGTATACTCTTGGATCAAAGTGGGTGCTATTCGAAGGTTCTACGTTTCATTTGTATATTTTTTTGTAAATCCACCATCAGCTCTTGCCTGTGAAAGAAATTAATTTTACGAGTATTCAGGAACAAGGATTATCTGTTGTCTAAAGAACAAACAAACATTGAATATGGTTCCAGTGTGAAAAAGCGGCTTATTTTTTCTCTTTTGCAACTCGAACATATTAAATATATTTTCTATTTTAAAGGTGGATGGTTTGAAAGTATTTTGGTTTAAGGTTAACAGACCTGCTGAAACCGTCTCTAAACATGTATTATTATTATTTTTTACTTGGTACAGCTACATACATGTATATCTACATGTATAAGATGCATACAGTTTATATATCTCCTTGTATATAAATCATGTATATGAGAAAGTAAATTATACCAAAAATCAACAGTGTATTAACAGATATTTAGAAGCAATCTGTGATTGTATACGACTCAGAATATTTTGTTGTGAATGTAATTTTCACACTTATACTTTGTGAATATTTTTAGTATCATAGGAGCACGTAATTAAAGTGGATTGGTCACTTTGAACCAGGAGAATACATATTGCATACCAAATTTGTAGAAAATGAGTGCCTTTATCATACAATGTGGATATTTAGAGGAAAAAAATGATCAATTCTGGGAGTAGATCTGCAGATTAAAGTGTAGATGATATATTTTGTAAATGTATTTTTGCTTATATTATTTTGTGTTAATATATGCACGGTTTTGATAAGTATGGACTCGTGCACCAGTGTTTTACTGAAAATAGCATAAATAGCTTTTGATCTTTATACCAAAACATGTTTACAATGGTTGGAAGAAAAATATGTAAATATATACAGGCCACTTTATCTCTTTCCCGTGGATGGCCTATATAGACGAGTTTTACTGTAGATCCACCGTCGTTATTGGTACTTTGTAACATAGGTATATAAAAACCATTAATTCTTACAAATTGGTAGCTACTTTGGTGCAGTAGGATGCCTATTCAGTAATTTAATTTGTGGTATTTTTGTGTATTCTATATGTATGCATTGAGATCGCTTTTTTGAATATTTTCAATGTCTATTTACAGTTCCAATACATGTACAGTTCCATAGAGAATCTGCATTTGGCTACTTGTGCACTTAGCTGTGACAGCTGCAGTATGTGATAATTATTTGATATGATCATATTATTAATATTTTAAAATCAAAACTATATTCTTTGTGTCTGACAAAGACTAGTAATAGTATTTATGGTATTTATTCCAAACCATCAACTCGTTAATGTTCTTGCCCTATAGAAAATTGAAGCCACAATCTTGGTACTATTTCTAATGAATATTTAGTTCCAACTGAAAAATATTTATAAATTATATATTTGTAGTAAGATAATTAAAGATGATCATCTGTTGTGTTGCCAGGGAAATTAATGTTACGTAGGAAAATTACATAAAAAGGTGCCAGACTTCAATCATTTCCCTTTGAATACCATACAACTCAGCATATTTGTCACAACTCCCTGTATGTGCTCTAAATGTTGTAGAGGTGTCATGGTCTAGTAGATATGTCACCGGACTGTGGATCACATGGTTCACGGTTCGAGTCTCACGTGGCACTGTCATTTGGCAAGACATTAATCTACATTTGCCACTCTCAACCCAGGTGTTTAATGGGTACCCGGTAGGATGCAAAAGTTAATGCGTTTGGATGGGCATGTGTGCGCTTGTAAAATGGCACCTTGGCGGGACTACTCCCCAGGAAGCAGAACGTGTGCACTATCATGCGCAGATTAGGGAGTGAACCCAATGACCGGGGAAGTAATAATGAAAAGCCCCTAGAAACGTAGTATTACACGCTATACAAATGTGATTATTAATATTTATATTCAGACTGTACATTTTGAATGTTTATGTTCATTTTTTCTGATGTGAATATGTATATTTTATGCGTCGGTTTAAACTCTTCAGCATTTCGGCTGTTCGGAGCCAGAAGGCCGTCAGCCGAGAATGTAAGTTAACGCCCTTCTGGCTTCCAACAGACGATTTGCTGTATTAATTTATAATAGAAGAGAATCTATGTAGCAATAGTAATTGGTAGAAGACTTGAGCCCACCGCACACTACACGATCGTCTTGTCATTCGATTTTCGAAGAAATGGCAATTGTATTTAATAGGAAATCTAAAATTACACCATCTTCTAAATAATGATAAGAAAACTTAGAACTAGAATTTTAACAACCAGAATTTTAGTGCTTTGAAATTTTCTAGTCAGAATAAAATCAATGACAAGTGACAAAAATCAGTGACCAGTCTGCGAGTAACCAATCAGAAGCAAGGATTTCAGTAGCTTATAACAAAAACTGTCATTTGTCACTGATGACAAGTTTTGTGAAACACCCCCTGGTCTGACCTCACTACGATTCTGAGTCGATTTGGCTTTTCTTCTTTCAAGGAAGCATGAATTCCCTTCAAATTTAGATTATATTAAAGATAAACTTGAGTTCTGGTAAAAAAAAGAAAATGAATTCTCACAGAATCGAACGAAACTTACACTGAATGTTCAAGATTACAAATAAATGTCATGTGCCAAACAATTTTGGAAGAAAATGTATACTGGCTGAGTAATGAGCATAGAAAGATAAGGAAATCGGGGTAGTACTAGCCCTGACACCATGTGTGTTGTCCCATATACATCTTTCTGTGTAAGTGATTGTTACTTTACCAAAACTCTGCCAAATTTATGATGATTTTGATGACTCCAGAACCTTGCATTACACACCATTACTTACATGCTATATGATCAACTTTTCTGATCCATTCCACACCTTTTCTTTCACAATGCAATCGCATTACCAGAACTCAAGTTTATCTTTAATCATACATGTACGACTATTCAGATCCTCTGTCATTCAAATTTCTATTTGTTTGAATGTATCAAGTTTGTGGATGATTTAAATGAATTTACAACTGTAAAAAAATGTGCCATCAATGATGATAACATTGCCAAATTTTGTGAAATGCGTATCAAATGCTTTTGCAAATTCTTCCGAAATCGGTTCGTAATCGGATCGCTGTCGGATCGTATAGTGTGCGGTTGGCTTTACCCGTCATTCATTTCCTGCAGGCAGGAAAAGATTCATATGTGGTGAACTACTTAATACTTGTGTGTAAGTTTAGACAAAAATGAATGTGGACATCTTTTTTTAAAAGACTTGAGGAGCATTAGAAAAGTGCAGTGACATGTATTAGCCCTGGGAGGGTATTCTGAAAACTGTTATCTTTTCTGTTTAATAGGGGAATACACTATACTTGTAATGTTATTTGTAATAACAAATTGGAATTGGAACATCATTGGTTTAATGTCTAGACAAAGCCAGCTGTATATTCACAGGAGACAATTGGGCGAACATGAATAAGATGTACGTATTTAATCCCTGCAATTTCAATTCGTAATGATAATTAACTCTAATTTCCTTCAGGAAAATCTATTTAAGAGTTTCCTAAAATGGCTCCTGGCTTTGTGATATAAAAGACCCTCTTGACAATGGGATATAGTTCTTTGGCCTCTAGCACTTGCCTGCTAGAGTTAGAAAATTCCTAGATCGAGGGGAAAAAACAAAACTTTATTTGCCGAATGATTGCTTTGTTGGAAAAGTCCAGTTTTTACATGCCATTACATTTTGCTAAGCTTCTGCAAGTAATACTTTTTAAATGTTGGAGTGCATCAAAATGAGTCAAGTGCAATTTTGATGGCTTTAATAATGTTGGTGTGTACACTTTGCAGGTATTTGTTGAGGGTTACTTACAATAAATGCTTTTTATGCTAATATAAATATATGAAAAAAACAAAGTTCAATTACATCTTTCCCAGCGAGCAGTTGTTAAAGACACATTTGCACAAATTAAGGTAATTGAAAAATTGCAAACAATCCTAGGATTAAATGGAGTGTCCTTCATTACAGAATCTACCATATTCAATCATTAAAAAAAAATCATGACATGTTAGAATGAAGAAAGTAATTCAACAAAGTAGTATCTAGTAGAAATAAATATTAATTTCAATACTCAAGATATTACTACCCTTTCAAACACTTATTCATTTTCGTTTTGTTGTTAGCTGATCCGTCCAGTTTATTAATTCGCTATTTTACCTTTTAAGCTTTTATAATTAATTTTAAAAAAAAATAAGAGTAGATCAGTCAGTGTGCTATGTTTGTTTTTCATTTTAGGAAATAGTCGTTGATGCGATTATTTAGAGTGCCAATTCATTTTTTATTTTTGTTAATTTTCATTTTAGTGAAAACTTGATTGTTGTGTATAATTTACATGT